ATAAGAGTAAGCATCGGCCGCCACCCAGGCAAAATTCAAAATTTCCTACCAACTGAAAATGTTTGGTATGTCTCACGCGCCCATATGACCTGATGCAGTTGTGAGCGCCGTAAAACACTTACCAAATTTTTATAAAAAATACAACTTGTCTTGAATTTTATCCACCTTCTAAATATGTGAGGCAGCGTGGGGAAATCAGGCGCTCGTCAAAATAATGAAAATGAAGAAACTGGCATTTTTCCACAGGTTTGGGAATTTTTATCGATTTTTTGTATTTTGGCTCAGCACCCTGCATGCACATTAAAGAACACCTTTGTGTGTGGATTTGACTAAAAACGTAGACTAAAGGCATACAATATGTACATTTTAGGTTTCAATGTACTCTCAAGCTTAGGAAAAAAATAACTTTGGCAGCCATTTTCTGGCTAATTTTACCTCTGAAACCAGGCGACAACCATTTCCTTCAATCGTCAATATCTTGACTTGTATCCAAGATAAATGGATATTTTTTTTAACGAAAGCAAGGCATTAAGATGATACCAATAACGCTATATGCCCAAAAATTTGCTTCATTCCACCGTGTTGAGACACATATGTGTATTTTTAAGCCCCCATCAACACAACTTAGATCATTTAGAAGGCGGGCTACATTTTATTCTTTAAAAAGAAAAACGCATGGGTGATAGGCGGGTGCTCTGGTGCGGTTTGCTCCTTCTTTCCTATCAAAATCTATCGTCGTTATCTGTCCTCCTTTTTTGTGTATGTTACTCTCTTGTAACACCTCTAATCTTCGGCCTTTATATGACCTTATTGTGTTGCAAGTGCCCTAAAACTCTTACTAAAACTAAAAGAAAAGCGAGAGACCGTATCACTGACCGTGGGTGAGACATTGTAGACGCTAAGAGGTTCTGTGAGTGCAAATATTCATGGCGCAGCCTGCCCCCATCGACACAATTTAGATCATTTAGGAGGCAGGCTACATTTTTTATTTTTTTTAAACAAGAAAAGTGAATGACCCTATCACTGACCGTGGGTGAGACGTCGTTGAGGCTGACAGGGTCCGTGTGCGCAAACAGTTTGGGCGCGGCCTGCCTCAAGGCCACCTGGTTCAGCTCGATCATCTGGTCGATGTGCTGCAGCTCCACAGGACTCTGGTAAACGTTGTTCCTGTCCTTGACCTCTTGGGGGAACAGGCCGCGGGTCATGTCGTAGACAAGCCGGCTGGAGCCGATGTAGTCAAATGACTCCTGGTGAAGACAAGGCGCACAGTGAGGTTTTTCTCTTTCTTTTTAGTAAGTGTCTTACGAAACTTGCCAACACAAATAGGGCATATAAGTGCTGAAGATTAGAGGTGTTACAAGAGAGTAACTAACAAACACAAAAAAGGAGGAGAGCTTTCATTTCAGTAAGAGTTCTACGCAGACCTGCCACTCTATGAAATCTAAAAATCAGGATTTCTGACTTAAAAAATCGGGATCAACGGCAAATCAGTCATAAAGGGCACTGGGGGGTCCTGGTTCCCTTGAGACAAGTACGCAAGGCAAAACTTTTGCAGGAATAAGTTCACGTTTGGGCCACTATATAGAGGGAAAACTGAAAGACAGCATATATGTACTCGAGTCAAAGTTGGATAGACTGGGGGAGCGAAGGTCGCAGTGATGCTGAAACACTCGTAGTCTTGAAAACAGCTGACACGTAACTCTCCACGCAAAACGCCCGCGTTTTAACGTTTGACTTCCCTCACATCGAAAAAAAGATCGCACCAAGGCTGTTCATTTTAAAAAAATTCCTTTCCCCTTAATTAGTACCTGTATTATGGCACGCACTTTAAGCCCAAGTGTCAAAACAATACCCCCAC